CGAGACAGCAACTTCACACTTGATGACGGAAAACTTGGTGGGAAGCAGCAATCTAATTTTTGTACATGCAGATGAAAGAAATTGCATGCTTACCTTGAACTTTTATACATTTTGGATCTATGATAATTGATAGGCGGTGCACTAGGTAGTACATGGGGTTAATTGGCAACCTTAAGTAAAACTGTCGACACGCAAGCTGTCCACTAAGATAAATTAATCTGGCCGATTGCATAGATTACTTCGCCCCTTGTCTGAGCAATATTTACAATAGTGCAAAGGATTAAACCTAATCTCTAACCAACAAAATATGAGTCAAATCTCAAAGACACCATTCCGTTGAAAGTTGCTTTGAACTAGCTTGATATTTAACACTTTAAAGCTTGTCAGTCAATCCTAAAAACCTTATTAACTTTCACCCAAATTATAAATTGCATTAATATTTACTCGAAAGTCTACGATTTTCCTTTTGTACTAACAACCGAATTAAGACATTTAGATTAAATAATGGCAAATATAAGACGAAGTGAGCAAATCATGTCGCGTCTTATGTCTTTAAAAACTGAATATCCGGCAATAATATACAACCCGCTAAGAGATAATCAATCATAAGAAGTACAAGCGGCTTGGTGTAGAAGAGCACCTTTTAAATTATTTACAGAGCTTATAGTAACGAAACAGTTTGTTGATCATTTCTTGTTCGGTCAGTTATTCCTCTATCAACAATTGTTAAAATACGAGGCATGTGATGTACCGTAGGCTTGGTTACTAACACTACAGCTCTATGCATTTGTTCGGTTGAACAGGTTGACCTACTTTCAGTAAACGCCCTGCGGATGGGGTAACCAACCACAAAGAATATATTTGACAAGAGCGGCTTGCAGGAACTAACATGGTTGAACGTAATATTGGCAACAACATTCCGCCCTCAGCACCCATACCTTGCGTTAATTGCTTTCATGAAGTGATAACTGTTGCAAAACTCGGTCCCTCAGGGACAAACGGTTTATTCCACAAAGGAAGCTCAGCGAAAATGATAGCATACAAAGAGTGTAGAAACCTCGATATAAATAACTGAGTCGTTTCCATGACAAACGACGCCTCTGCATTCATGACGTCCTTCTTCCGAATCAGTTAAACAAGCCCGCTGCTGCGTAAGTAAATAAGAGCCAATCAGCGCGTAGGTAAGGTATGCGTAGGAGTCCAATTAACTGCTCTGTTCATTTGCGACAAGCAAGCCGCCTGCTTCACCATGTGGAACCGTATTGTTTTTGGGAATGCAAAATCCCATCACAGTAACTATTATGAGGCCCTTAAGCTAAAAGTTAGGGAAGATCACGCGGCAGCAATATGTCTAGTGTCATAATACACACTCAGTGACAAACTGTTATAACAAACAATGGGAACCAGAAATAGGTCTGAAAAGCGAAACGGATTGAAAGTCCATTGACTTTATATTTTGCTCATTTGAAAGGTCGCGAAATTTCATGGGCTTGGACCTTCGTTATTGATGCTGAATTGTGAACGGTATGTGCGAAGTTACTGATAACGATATCTTTTAAACCATGAGAAAGTAACTGAAAGGACGCAAAATTCGGGTGGTCAGTACAGCTGTGAATTCAGATTTCCACTTGGAAACATGAAAATTAATCTCTTTAGAGGGAAGCTTTTAAGCATTGTGGTTGTTAATAGCATTGCATTAGAGCCATCGAGTCGCTGAGGCTTCGGCAAACTGCATTAGGCGAGCGGTGTTCTCTCTGTTAAGTATTAGCAATGAGTCACGGGTGCGTTGGCACATTGGGCAATCGTTTATGTACAAAGCGGTTGAACTGGTGTATTTTTGTGTTCACCGTATACCGTGTGCGCCATTCTCCGAGGGTGAGACTTGCTGTGTACGCATTTTTCCGTGCATGTATTTTTCCGTGTACACATAGTACGTGTACTGTTTTTCGGATACGCTTTCATCATGGAACTCCGCTCCATCTGCATCCTTTTGGATACCTACACCGGAAATGCACGTCTATGGACAGGAGAATTTATCCTCATCCAAATGGCAATCTCAAAGCAATGAAGCGTCCTGTATTGATCGATTGGATTTATCAACACTCTGTGATGCAGCAGCCTATCCAATCTTTACCAGTCACGGTTGGCGTGCGATAATTCGTTTATGTATGACTATCTCCAGTCAATCGATTGTTGATTGTTGGGTAGATATATCTTGACAGAATAAGTAGTGAAATTAAATAGCTTACCATAAACTTTACTGGGTATAAGGAGAGATAAGTGCATGTATGCGCGTCTGCTAGGTAAAGTTCTGTTTCGGTGGCCACCATCAGATAGCACCAACTAAGTTGTCATTGTTGAGGCTTCCCCATATGTTTGCTGAAAAAGAGCAGACATGGGGGCAGCAAATTACGCATAACGATTTCTAAACAACAAAGTTTGTACTACGTTGTGCAAGCACAGACTTCTAATTATAACCTGCCTACTCATGTTGCCCAGTTAAAAATAGTAGGTGACGTATGATTTCATTTAATTGACTGTTTTGACTCGGCTCATAGTTTTTAAAGTAGGAATAAACGCTCTTGCGAGTATTAGTTTAATTCAAAATAAATCTGGGAGCTTAGTGTGCCTGTAGAAGTGATAAGTTTGATAATTAAATGATGGCTGAATACACCGCTTCGGTTGGTACATCCAATTTATTTAGCATTTCCCCAGTTTTGTATTGCACAACGTTAGCACTTGGTGCCATTGGTTTTCACACAGCTATTATTTTTGTCTAGGATTGGTTTAATGCCTTACTCACCCTGGTACCTAAATTACCCAACCGCAGGTTAGCGTCGGTTAGCCGACAATAAGAAGCATGTACAGTTAGCAAATAAGGCAAGCTACAATCATAGTTATTGATAAGTATGCTGAAATATTATTGCGTTAAACTGAGGCTACCTTGGGTTCACTTGAGTTGTGTTATTACTTATCGGCAAGTACAAAGCAAGAAGTAAAATATTAAAATGTCAGTACAGTAACTGATTTTTGTGTCAAAATCACCACATTTGGAGTCAATGAATAATTTTTAATTAAATGTAGTAAGCGTTTGCAAGAAGATTGTCAAGACCATTCATTATAGTTATAGTTACCGACAATGAACCTTGCTTAAATGTAATACAATTTTAATGATATGCTTAGGAAAACATTGCATACTAATTTCGCGTTTATTTAGTGACATAACAATGTTGCCCGTAAAGATGCTTGAGAAAGCCATGTTGAAATATTACACGAACGTTTACTTTCTTTGCTATAAAACGTGATTAATATTCTGTTGCTCAACTCTGAGTTCCGGTTTACTTGACTTTGACAATATTATTAAAAATCGAGATGACTGATTAAAACAACTCTTCATTCACCAATAATTTTGTGATATCTTGAAACATATTGGTTTGACATAACTAAAATGTTTAAATCCAAATGGAAAAGATAACTTCGTTTAAGGCAACAATGTGGATTCCGCACGGGTTCATGGCGCATTCGACTACATATTACAATGTATAAAGTGTGACGAATTCTAATTAATGACATTCAACTGTGTGATCCGACTGTTTTGTCCGGAGAGTTTGTTTACCACAGGTTCATTACTATAAAGAACTCAGTCTCTATTTTGAAATTTGGCAACAAATACATTGATATGATTACGACCTCTGTCACCGACGCTGATGAGGACAATACTTATTAAGATACATAACACTTTTCTTACTTTCTTACGCTATCGGTACTCCTCGTCCCGTCCTTCAGCTCATTGGCATGAATAAATCACTCCAGTGCAGCAATCACGTAATGTAATTTTGTCCTCATAGTGTTAACAAGTGAGGTGAACTGCGGATTACTTGTTAGAAATAAGAGCAAAAGCTTTATCTAACGTTGTGATATACGCTAATATACTGTCAAAGACTTTAAGATAACCGTAGTTCGGCAAGTCCGTAACTTGTTCCTTGATGCATACAGCCGTTCCTGACGAGTATGTATCAAAACACGGGGATATATAGGAACATCTTACTCTATCTGCTACATTATGTTTGGTTTGTAGTGGATGATAAGGTAATACTGTTTTGGTCAAAACGACCGATAGCTGGATGTGCGCCGGCCGGCTGTGTATTATCTAAATTAGGAAAGCTCCTGTCTTTATCTTAAAATATTACGCTTCAAAGTACTTCCCACCTTGTTAGTGGTATGGAGCTTTTACTTATTGGCAGCCAAAATTTCATTAGTTAATTTATTCTGTAAGCCCATTTAATGGGGTTACATAAAGTCACCAGCGGTCAGAAATGAAGGAGCAAGGTGACTGTTTCCGTCTAAATAACTGTTTACCAATTGGGTTTGAAAGTTTTCAGGCCTATCCACAACATTGGCGGAGAAGACAGACCCGAGCATGTGGATTTGTATATTGTCCGTTGTGGTCCAGTAAGAGTTAGGATGCTTCGCTAACTTGAACATCGTTTTCCAAATGTAAGTATTGCAAAGATAGGCTAAACGCATGGTTAGACTCGGTATGTTCTCCTATCTTTCGGACATACATATTCGTGCATTCATTCAATTAAGAGAAGCTAACGTAATTTGCTTAGTAGTTAATTTTGGCCCCTGTGGAACAATGTTGCTTGACTGTTATCCGCAAATATCAAGCCAAATTTTGTTTTTAGAAATCATTTTACCTGTGTGCAAACTTTCGCTACCCACTCCACTAAGAATCCATCAAACGGGATTACCCATGATTCGTGACAGGCATCATTACTGTGCACATTTCAGGCTTAAAGCAAACGACTGGTCAAGCCATTTTATAATTAGCATTTTCTTCCACCTTAATTTATGTCGCTTATCAGGCGTTAAATTAATTACAAATCACCACAAGTAAAAGTGCGAACTGTTATATAAATGCTCCGAAATTGCATTTTGCAGCATAACTTGTTTTATCTTCGAGCATTTCATCACAGAATATTTTTTTACTTTTTTAGTTTGCTCATCTCCTGCTGCTACGTAAGCGGTTAGGCAAGGAGATATTTCCTTTGATTTCCCAAGTATACTACACGAGCTATAAGGAAATGGTAAGTATCTACCGAGTAGTTACATGCAGTGTCTTAAACAAGTAAAAAGGTCTGGGCCTTATTGATTGTTAAGGTAACTACTTATACAGCCGTTAAGGAACTAACACTGGGTAAGTGATATCATAAAGCCAAGGCAAAGCTAAAAGCCCCTTAGCTTACTTAAACGCTGATCTGAGTGGCAGGAGTTGTCTGAGCTTAACTATCCGAGGCACAGAACATTTTGATGTATTACACCAGTAACAATGCAGACGTAAAATGTGCATATGTCACGAGATTATGTTTGCAAAGCTCCTCCAGACAGTGGGCTATTCACTGACTAGAAAGTAGCTTGAATCTGTCTGTATGAAGCTGCGATGGACCCATATTGTCTCAGCGTGAATATTCCCACTTGTTTTTCTCTTTGAGCATGGCAAGGTTCACTGTAACAAAAAATAGCCCATCCTAAGAAATATAACATTTTCTCCCTGTCCCCTTAACTATTGAATCTATGGTGATTGATTAGTTGACCTCGTTTTCATACAAGTCTGCCAACGTGCCCCAAATTTCTCATTTGCGTCATATGCTAAGCTTCTAGAAGGAAGTTGATTATTACTCTTAAATACCTCGGTAACGGCACAGCTCAAGATAGTCTGATTAATCATTAATTGTACACAGTAAGCAGCAGTTGGAAGCCGTCGGTGTTTATAGAGGCTGGATACTTTACTACCTGCTCTTGTAATATATTTCGGGTGGCCTGTTATGATCGGGTTATCACCGATGCGTTTGTTCATCTAAGCCGCCGGCTTACAAAACCTCGAAAGTTGCAGACCTTGGCGCTTCTGTAAATGTAACAAGGGATAAAGCCCTCGAAATTCAACTTTAGTACGGTAGGAGAGAATGAACTTCGGCTTCTATCTGTGCCCAGTTCGCGGCCGTTATTGCCAAGTTACACCTAACCCTATAAGAATATATCATGCGCACTGTCCAAAGCACTCTAGCTAACATTATGTTACCAATACTCACTCCCCGTTATAGATGGCCACAGTTTATTCGCCAATAGCGGTGCCGTGCAGGAATTGCTTTGATACACTGGGGAAATAATTAGAGAAGTACAGAGTAATTCAGCCGGGATTTTTATAGTTTATTTTTGTCTAGAAACCAAGGCAAATACATTATAACATTTGTAGTTCAATGGAAATAGTTAACATATTATGTATACATTGCAACGTGCGATCAGCTGCCACTGCAGTCCCCGAGGGAGAAATGCCATTCCTATTGATTTAACAGTAATCCCTAGTCCCGAAATTTACCAGTTTGGTTGAATTCGTGCAATAACTTGAGCAAGTGATGCCTCATTCGAAGGGTTTATCTTTCAGATCACGGCTCCAGCCTTTCCAACAATTATCAAAGTTGGTCATGGACACGGAGGTGAAGGAAAGGTGAGTATGTTGCAAACCTACAAACTATGTACGTGATATCATGCTGGAAGCTCTAGAATTTTGGGCGCACTCTTAAGTTTGTTTAAAACAAAGGACCTACGGAGTGAGAATTGATATCATGATAACTCACAATGCTATTTCGGGCTGAGAATTTGCCCGTATGTGGAGCGATAGAAATTTAGTTTACTGGTTATTTTAAAGTAGTTCATCGGTGAACGCAACAGAGGCCTAAACATACTGGCAGTAACTACAGAATATCTGAACTACTGCTTAGACGATGAGTAAAAAAGGCCTATCGATGTGTCGGACGTTTTATCCGGTACATAGATATCGGAAATTAGACGCTTGTTTTCCTAATCCCCACATTTGGCGCCGCGTAGGATTTGGCGAAATTTGCCTTGAGGATGAGGTGAATCAAGTATTAGTAAAACGCGGATGGCTGCATTCACTGCCCCGGGGTAACATCATTGTTATTGAATCATTGACGCACCCCTCAGAATATACAAATTTTTTCATATATTCAATAAGTGATTCTGGCTTGATGTGTTATTCGTTGATGTATCAGTACTTCAAAAAGAGGAAGTAGCGTAAATTTACGATAAGCTGATTTCCTAATAAAGACTGTTAGTAAGCTTTATATATATATATATATATATATATATATATATATATATTTGGCAGCCTCCATTTCCGGTTCTTCGTCACTGCGACTGAGAACAGTCAAAGGACATCTGTGCCAACAGAACGGCCATGGGTGGCTGGCTGTATACTACATTTCCATGAACGCGCCTTCATGTTACAATGATCTGCACCGAAAAAAGAACTGATAATGCTCACGTTTTGATAAGGAACGACAGTAAAACCCCAGATTATCTTTCAAACGTACCTATTGCACCCCTACATAATTCCATCCATTGACGACTTCGCTTGCGTGTGCATGTTGTACATGTGTGCACGGTTTCTCAACAGCACGAGAAATACACGTTATTATTGTCTATAGGTCCATTCGGGGTAAATCGGAAGGAATAAAACTCAAAAGCACGGGATCGGTGTCACAACTGATTCGAAGCCGTCCCACACTCCACCAATTTGCACTTCACTTATTCATTTGATAAACGGGGAATACGCATACCCAACGTATATAGGGGATTGGCCGGGCCATAGCCCGTTCCACAAAGTATAGAACCACCCTTTGAACTATCGTCGCCGCGAACCCTATGAACCCTGACTCCCCCAGCCACCACCAACAGCCTCCTGGATACAGTAATCGAGGTGGTGGTATACGACAGCTTAACACTTGTCAACGTTCGCATCAAGCATAGCGAGCGAATGTCAGTGGTCCGGGGTTTGCAGTTTACAGGACATTAAACCTTATCTGAGGGTCAGCAAATAAAGCTGGGTTCACAAGGGGTTGGCAAGAATTTGGGGAATTGCTTCAACTGGTGGGTTGGGCTAGGAGCCCACGCAAAGTAGGAACTGTTTCGTCGATATGCTTGTAGAAATGAATTGTTTGTAATAAACAGTTTATATATATATGTATATATATATAAAGGACTGAACAGACAATCCTATTGGTAGGCTACTGCAGATGGATGTGTTAGGTTAGAATACATTTCCACTACAAAAAGCGGATGCAATGAGTATGTCGCAACTTGCTTAGAGCACTTATAGTTGCTAAATGAATATGCATAGCTTCTCTACAGTGCTGATTTTAACAAAACCACGGTTTAGGTAGGCATCTATGAAGAAGGAACTTACGGATAATGGAATGCTCCACGTTCAGTAAAGCGACAGCGTAAAATATAAGTACAGCGCATGGCGGGCCCTGAGCTCCTGTCACAAGTCAATTGTATTTCTTCTAAAATTGCTGTTATCGTAAAAGATTTGTAACCTGGCAAGTCCTTTACGTTTGTTCGCAGCTGTTCTTGATGAATCACACTTCTACGCTACCGACTGCGGTAACATTTAGTTTTGTGACTCATATACAAGGTCATCACATTGTCCGATTCCTACACTCTCTTAAAAACGTTACACGGTAATGCCCGAAATACGTGGTTTCTCGACTATACTCACAAAGTTAGGAACCGATTTCAACGAATCATAAAAGAAATATTTTGGGAACAAGTGAAACCTTCATGCTGGTTGGTAATCTGTCTTCAGTCGTTGTTCTATAGACAAAGTGACAAGTTCCACTTATGCTTTATCGTACTATGTGCCTGTATTTTAGTAAAATTATTAACCCTCTGCTCTTCTGTTACTAGGAGAGCAGATAAATATGGGTTTACTTCAGATACAACAAATTTGGTTGCATACGAATGTGGTAGATAAAGTTGTTCATCTCCATGGTAATTTTCCTATCATGACTGACACTCCAAGTTTCGTGGTAGTGTCGTTAAACCTTGCGTTAAACACAGTTGCTTCCATTAAGCGACCGTACAGTTCACATACTCAATATCCACTAAAAGCTGAAATTCAGTCAATTGCAAACGCAATTTCTTGGGTGGTTTTCTATCTAGCATAGCCGGAAACATCCACATAGCTTTTGACTCGTCTGCGTCAGAATGCAAGCTTTTGAGGACCGAGTTTCTTTGATGTAACTGCTGAAACTGAATTACTCTACCTGCATTTCTGCTGAAGATTTTAACAAAAAAGTGTATAACATTCCTAAGGACAGTTGGTTTGGTCGATTTAGTGACTTTTTGTAAAGGCAGGACCCGTACCCGTACCTTGTATACATAAACAGAGTGAAGTTGTTTTCCATCCAAAATCGAGCTCCACTGAGTAGCTCAGACGATTGCATTTTAGTATGATGTCCTGTCACATGAAATAGAACTGATTTCGTCATACTGATTAGACTACGCTTCTTATCTATAAAGTAACTAAACCGTTACGCTGAAAATATCACAAACCTCAGCCGCATTTTTCCTCAACTGATTTTAATGTTATCAATGACGAGGAGCTGCCGATTCACTGCGACCGTTTACAAGCCAAATCAAATATAGCTTCGACTTGCGGTGCCTTGTTAAACTTAACTACATAAGAGTGGATAGATTTTCCCTCCCCATTGTTAAAGCCGCTCTGAAAGATGAAAGAACTAGCTTACATCAGTAATCAAGTGTGCGAGGAAGATGCTAAAAAATTTATACCTCGAAGCAGTTCTAGGTATACGTAGCTACGGTGTTCTGTGGAGCCATTTGAGGCTGCCTTATGGTGAGAGCAACTGCAGCCGGAGTGGTGAGGTGTATGTGGACAAACTAAGTACTGAGTTTAACTCCGTCTAATCAAGGGGACTCCCATCGCCGTCCTTCATTAACTCAATTCTAGCTGCGCCCTTCATCCAAAGCGATGTTCGCAAGGAAATCAAATGACTAAAGTCAAACGAACCTAGTAGTCTGGATGTTCTCAATCTACTATCCGATAATTAATTTCACCCGAGGGTGAATATCTAACGATTCGTACTTACTTTACCCAGTTAAAGGTGAAAAAGTTCTCTCTTCTCTACCTACTATGGTGTTCTGCAAGGAGCAATCCTTTCCCCTTTTCTATTATCCTTATATGTCGATTGTCGCCACAGACAACCCACTTTCACAGGGTGCAAATATACTGACGCTGTTGTGCTGGGTTGTATGGTCTCACTATTCAGGATTCCTTATTGCATTAACGGGGATTAGAAGACTGCGTAGATTGGTGTTTATCCAAATTTCTTGCTTCTAATGATTCCAAATGCAGTGCTGGGTTGTTTTCTTTTGCCTCGTGGCGATAAGACGCAGTCCCTCATAGATATCTCCCTTACTCTGACTGTGAAAGATGATCCTACGCACATAACATCGACCGTTAAGTATCTCGGTAATTGTTTGTCCCAAAACCTCTTTTGTTCGCGCACGCCTGTAAAATGTTTCACAAAGTCAATAAACTTTCTTTTTGTGCCCCCAGATTTAAGATAACTTCAGTATCCCATTCTTTAATATGTAAGCGTGTGATTTCATCTGTTACCCTATTGGCTGTTCTGCTCTCCTGTCAACTTCGCTGAACACCTTCAGCTGGACTATCTCTTTTTGGTACAACCGATAAGATGCAGCGGCTTGTCTGGAAATTGTCTAATTAACCTGATCAATACTAAAAATCTTAAGATATTCAATAACGCTTTTTGCGAGGTTCAAATGACCGATTTCTTTCATTGCACTTGGACTCTGTAGAAAAACTGTTCTTCCTTTAAGCTTACAAACTTCGAAATTTTATTTTCCCCCTTTCATTATAAAGTTTAAATATATGGCCTTACTTGTCATGGTTGATTGTTGCCACAACGAAAGTCATGGATCTGCTACGCAGCGGTTGTTAGAGTGATAGCTGGATATATATTTCGCTGTTTTCGCGTCCATGTGAGGTTCCATGATATTAACTTTCAGCACAACTGTAAGGATTTGGCAAATGCTGAAAATGAACTCATGTTGGTTGAAAAGTTATTTTATGCTTCAAATCAAAGCACTTTTGTAGTTGTGTTGCTTCTGCCTACTTCGCCGTCTCTTGTCAAGACAAAGACATCAGTGACATATACAGAGAATGCCGCAAAGGTCCAAGGTGAGGCCGCGGTTGCGGCCTCTTCTGTTTTAAAGACCGTTAACGCGAATAGAGTGACAAACAGCAAACAATCAACACTTGCCAGCAGGTCAGGACAAACGAGTACCATACCTTGTAGGTCAGCGAAAAAGGGATCCAACAATAGTGCCCGGATTGTTGTATGCTCAAATGTCCATGAATCTACCGCCATTACACTGCGGGATAAGTTATCGGACGACCAAGACCAATGGAACCCCTTGTGCGTGCAGATGAGTGACAATGCCAAGCCCATTTACTTGTTATGAAATACTCGGCATCCGAACTCGCCACACTATGGTCCACCCAGATTTATTCGAGTAACACTAGAATCCTCCACCTACATAGAAAAAGCTTTGCTCTCCGCCAGTGCACTAAAACACGGATCTTGTGGGATAATCATTCAT